GATGGCATTTGTGGAGACTTTCGGAATTGTGAACTCGAAACTTTGAATAATATTCTATTTGGTGGGTATTTCAGTTTCAATTTAGGTGTAATCAGTATTACAATATGAAATGTACTTGTATCTGAATATGCACCAATGATCTTCCTGATTGCAATTGATTGGATAATGCGACAGACAACGGCAACCAACAAGGGAACAGGCATAAAATGGACTGACTCAAAGGACTTGGAGGATCTGGATTTCGCCGATGATATATGTCTGATTTCCCATAAACTGGAAGATATGCAAGTGAAAAGTAACAAGTTGGCAGAAGAAGCATCAAAGATAGGACTTCACGTGAACATAGATAAAACAGAGATAATGAAGATTCCTAGCCAACATCAACAACACCAACAGACCACAATAAGCATAAATGGGAAGAACCTGAAAGAAACAACCTCCTTCACCTACCTGGGAAGCATCGTCTCAACTACAGGCGGAACTGACGAGGACATCAAAGTCAGAATCGGAAAAGCAAGACAAGCTTTCATTACTCTCAAATCTGTGTGGAGGTCAACAGCAATCAGCATCAAAAATAAGATCCGGATTTTCAACTCCAATGTGAAGTCAGTGCTACTATACGGATCAGAGACTTGGCGAGTCATAAAGAGCATCTCAAACAAACTTCAAACCTTCATTAACAACTGTCTCCGCTCAATACTCAAGATCAGATGGCCAGAAAAGATCAGCAACAGGGATCTCTGGAGCGAACCAATCAGGAACCGATTGTGAAACAAATAGTCAGGAAGAAATGGAGATGGATTGGCCATACGCTGAGGAAACCATCAAGTGACATCACTAGACAAGCCCTCGAGTGGAACCCGAAAGGGAGGCGGCGAGTTGGTCGTCCAAGGGTGACTTGGAGGAGGTCATGCGAGGAGGAGATGAAAGCATGTGGACAGACCTGGAGCAGGGTGAAAAAGTTGTCAGAAAACCGAAGTCAATGGAGGTGCGCAGCTGAAGCCCTATGTTCCTCTAGGAACTAAAGGATACAATAATAATAATAATATAATGCAACGGGCATACTTAGCGACCAGTGAAGCTAATTTTGATTTGAACTCAAATATCCTACAATGAAATTGGGAGTTATTGAATATGATGGAACGAATGATTATCCTTGTTCCCTTGGGTTATGAGTGGAGTATGTGTTTTTGGGAATATATCTTCGTGACATCTGCCTGTCAGCTTTAGTCTTGTCCCCACTTAATCTCAGATGTGTAGTCTTCCCACACACGCTTAACTAGCCATTTCGTATTCAGGTTGCAATAGTTGGGTTCCCTGGAGCACAACTTTGCTAAACTCCCGCTTAAACTGATATCCATTCCATCTCCATTTCTTACTTCATATTTGTTAGTCGACAGGTTGTTGGCTGATGTCTTCGCAGAATTCATTTTTGCTTATTCTTACTATATGTCTGATCTTCATCTGGAAGTGTAATGTGCAAGATTTCCCATGATAGTATCAAAGGCCATTTTCGATTGTGATGGATAAGCCAACTTGATAGTCATTATTGCTAACAAATTTTATCACTAAATATGACGATATCGTGTTGTGTGCAGTTTATAGGTGTAACTACCGTCAGCTCCATATGAGAAGATCATTAGGCAACATGTGATTAGAGGTAGCCATTGAAACGTCAGATAGGTTAGATTTAAACAGCTCGGGAATTCATACCTCTGACCATCCCCACTTTTCATGATAATTAAGGATATTCATCAACGAGAAAACCTTTGGATATATTTTTAAAAGCGATTCAATTTTTGTTCCTTGTAATGTGAGTGAAAGACAACTATGAAGTTTCAATAATGGATATTTGTTTTCTAGGGAGCGAGACTGATGGCCTCCTAGTCGAACCTTCCCTGTTTTGTAGAGCTTGTTATCACCTACTTTACGCATGTGATTTGGTCGATTTCGAACCCGAGTATCTCGCTGTGCTGGAGGAAACGAGTCCAGTGCGAATTCAACACAGATTTATTGTCAATGTCTCTACACCAACAAAATTCGTGAATATACAGACTGAATCACATGACTAGGTTGAGCTTTTAATGCATATTTCGATTTCCTCAAGTGTGTTAGAATTTGAATGTTGAAGAAGACCAGGAGTGAATACACGCTTAAGTTTGTGGACGACCATGAACTGTTTTGTATAGATCCTTCAACTAACAACTAGTATTTCAAGAATGCCAACTGTGATACGAGGTAATTGCAGAATGAGTGAATTTTTGAAATTTCGCTTATACAGTCACTTCCACCAGTAAATGAACAATTTTGCTCCCTCCAGCATATCTTACTGTTATTATTGCTGTTATGTTTATAGTTATTGTTTTTTCATGAGTGTACACCCTATTTAATCCCATGAAGTTATTTTTGCGTTTCTTTGTTTATTCCCTCACTACGGTGTGTCAATAGAACATTAGATTCAATATTCTGTAAGATACTACGATTTCCGAATGTTGTCGGCATTCATGTTTGTAAAAAACAAACTGTTACTATTATCAGCACTGTTATTATAATAACAGTTATTTTCTCACTTCTCGCTCTGAGCATTTTTCACATTATTCCTACTGTAAATGTGGAAATGCCGCAGTGGTTAACTTCAATTATATTTTGAATAGGTCAGACGCAGTACTGCGACAACTGTGGAAAATTCGATGCTTTATTTTGAGTACTACTTTTGAAAGAAGGCAAAAGATTATTATAATTATAATAATAATTTAATCATTCCTATTGTATCATTAAGAACACACTATTCAGCGAAGAGATTCTTTCCAGGGAATTTATTACCAAGCTGTACAATCGTTTACCTATATGGCTTTTAATAAATTAAATCCAGTGAGGGAATTGAATCATAGATGTGAATGCATAAAATAATGATAATTGTATGAAATACAATTAAAATGTTTTTGATTATAATCAAAGTTAAATGTCAAGTAGCAGGACAAGTAGTATTTTATATAGAATAATTCATAAGATGCATTGTTGTTGGAAAGGGGTGCATAATTATAAGATTAGTAGGCTGATATAAAATTTTACATAACACGGTGTGAAATTCGATGAACAGAATTCAGTATTGTAAGGAAAAAATGTTTTGCATTTAGAATGACAAGTGGGACAGGCGGAAACCATTCAAAGTGAGAAAAGTAATAATAATAATCGTAGTAATAAAGGAAAGGTACTTAGATTAACTAAATAGACAAAATAAATAAATAAATAAACGTCCATCCTTCTACGGTCAAGACAGAAGTAGCGATTGTACATACTTCTCGTGTATATTAAAGTCTGACTTAAATTCATGAATGGCCAAGGCCTCCAATGTCTTTAGAAGTCTTTGATGAAGAAAACGGGTAGATGATTTTAAAATCATAGTCAGTGTTGGTGGTGTGACTGGAGTGGGTCAGGTGCTCTAGAATAGAGCTTCGCATACTCCTTCTTTCTCCACTGTGAAAATTATGCTTGATTATTTTCTCGTATCCTTGTGAAAGCGTCCTCTGGCTACCGTCAATGTATCTTTCTCCACAAGAGCAGGTGAGCTGATAGATGCACATGGAGATGATTAAACAGGGAGCTAATATTTGACAGAGATGGGGAAAACCTTGCGGCTGGTGAACGTCATTTGTTATACTGCGGCAAAGAACGTCTTACTGACTGATTCAGAGAGATAGTTTTGAGCATATGTAAAGCTTAACAACCTTTGGATTCTAAGTTCATAATTAAGGCTTTCTTTGGAACTGAGTTGGTGATCAGTTTTGACTGCTTATCTTTCGTGTTTCTGTCAATAAATTTTTTCGACTCATCGTTTTCTACGAGAGTGGCTTTTAAGAAGTCAAGTTCTGAGTCAATGCATCAAAACTGCGAATGTTCTCATCTTAAAGGGGAACGAATGAACTAGGTTCCTTTTCCTGGAGATAGGCATTCAACTGAAGAAATAAGCTGGTTGTCCATTACCTGTGTGTTTCCGGTGGATGGATCTTCTGAGGGATCCGTCATTGCATCTACTTAGGCACACATCAAGAATGGGTGTCCTTTTCTATAGTGAATTGTTAAGAAGGAAGGCAGTTGTTGAATGCAAACAAGACATGGTTTGATCAAGATGAGAGTTTTCAAACTGTGTCATAAAAAATCAACCAGCAGTGGCAAAGCTGATTTGTTGATTATGCATGAAGTAGACCTTCGTTCATTAGATCGAGGATCCTTGAAGTAGTATACCATCGATTCTTAAAATTTATAATTATCCTTGTACAACCTCATACCTTGAACTTGATCACATCTTAAACACAACGTATCATGCCATAATACCGACACCGGAAGATATTTGATGAACAGAAAATACTCTCGAGAGATGTCGTACATGTATGGAAATATATAGATGCTGTTTGGTGAGTGCATAACTGACAACACAAATTCGTCACCCATTCGTCTCCGTTTAAATGAATGGATAGAACAGACACGGGGAATTATGATTTGAATTTCCTAAGGTATTTAGTTTCATTTGACTTCGCATTAAGTGTTTCGTGGGATGCTTTGATGATCACATCATATATAACGTTTAGCTGAATGGAAGGTTTTTTATCGATTTTATCAGACAGCTGGATTATCCACCGATATCTTATATCTTGCATCAAATTGTTCAAAGGTCAAACACTTATTTGAGTATATTAACACTGGACAAAGTCAGACAGCGTTTAGCTTAAATGAACAAAAATAAAACAAACAGTACAGAGTGTTATGATCTTTCTTTAGTTCATTGAACTGAAATCAAAGTTCAGTGTATTGATAATTTGATTCATTGGTTTGATATGATTTAATTTGAAACGCCTATTGAAATCAGAATCATAACAATGACTATATATATAATTTGTATTTGATTCGTATTGAGTACATCTCTCTACACATACACTCACATCAGTTAACAATTTAGGTATTCGGCTGGATTTCACCGACTCTGTCTGCTGGTTGGAAGTATGGAGAAGACGCAAATCTGTGCAAATCTAAACCGTCTCCCTGGTGACTCACAAAGACGATTATCATACACGAGAATGGTAGATATTCGTTGTCGTCTGATGCATCTCATTTAGGTAATGTTGTTGGTGGGAATCGAAATATTGGTGAGTATAGTGGTCACATTGTCCGTGTCAGCACTGTATGTCATCACATCAAAATTGATTGCATGCATTGTTCCATAGATCAAACTATATACAGGATATACTCAAATGCATCAAAATATTAACAATTATATCTGTGTGAGTCTAGTTTTTCGTTAGTGTGAATTTCAAATCTTCTCTTGATCATGACCATGGACACATGGGGCATCCTCCAGTTTAATTATTAATAATTTGTTGTACAATATTGTTCAATCACACGTGAGTGCAGTGTCGTTCTTAATAGTTTTTTGATCTTGCAATGAGGTCAATTCTTCGATGACTGGATTTTCCACGGTAACATGTTAACGAATCGATTCCAAGCACATTGTGTTATCATGATCAATACAATGATTTTGGCTCCTGGTGGAACACAGTGACTACTTCAGCAAGACATCTTTACTTGATTCTCTTCTCTGATGGTATACTAAGATGGCTTTACGGTCGTCCATTTAATCTTCATCTTGTTCTCTATATTTGTAGGATGATGCGCTTTTGGTTGGTACGCTAATCATCTGAAGTTAGATGTTGATAATAGTCTGCAAGAAGCTGTTGGAAGTGCTTTTGTTGAGGTGTGTGCAAAGTCCCTAAACCACATACAACCACTGAATACACCGACATTATTGCTGAAAATCCGAATCTCCTTACTCACATCGAATGTACCAGATTTCGAAACCGATCCCAGAATAACTGAGGCTGTTTCTGTAATCCTCATCCGTGACGATGTGTGTAGTTGGAATTATATTGGCGAAATAAGTGAGGGAGTGAACTTATTCAGGTTTCTTCCAGTGATGGTGTTTATTGTTGTTGTTAGTTTGTTCACGCCATTAAGCCTCTCTATATCCTGTATTCACTTGAAATCCCACATTCGTGGCCTACCTATTGCACATAACCCAGGTGGGTGAGTACTGCTCAACAGTCCCAAACTAGGGTGACGAAACAGCTCTGCAGTACTCCCAGATGGTTTTCCAATGGTTCTCTAACCAATGTCAGCTAGTGATGAAATCCTGTAACCAATCAACCAAATCCCTACAAACCAATACTTGAATTAATGGTATTAATTATTAACTACTTTACAACATGGCTACACTACAGAGGAAATGTTTGTCGTCAATTTGTTCTGTTCAAGGATGAGTTAGAAACATCAATGAACAGCTAACGTTTAGCGATCATTTGTTACCATCAGTGTGTCTTGTGATGTTATCCAATTGTGTTTCATTTAGGCCACATTGTAGAAGTACATCTCAGTTTGGCATCTGTCAGACTGTCGATGGCTTCAAACCATGCTTCCATGGAGAGTTTAACATCATGTTTTGATAGTGGACGGAGTTCCGAAGTCAGTCAGTTGAATTCACGAAAAAGCATAATACCAATTGCATAGTGAGGTATCCATGTCATTCATGAGTAACTCTTTTCTGATCGATTTTCATTCTGATGTGAATCTCCACATTAAGTTCAACTACTTTGGAAGCGCCTTCCATATTGTCACTGTGAATGGATTTGGAAACTGCTGCAAGACTACAGAGTTCATGTAAATAATGACAATAATATTCAACCGAAGTAAACTTCACTGTACAAATTACTGCTATGCTTGTTTATGAATATAAAGTAAGCTCACGCATCCTGTTATAGACAACGACACAACTAGGCGCATTATCTAACCACGATTGTTTGTTGTACTCATTATTTTTCAGAGTGATAGCTGATATGTCAGCTTTACTACTTCTCGCTGTTCCGAAAATCAGACTTCTACTACCACTTAACTTGATCATTCTCATTGTATACGTAAGAATTCTTTAATTTTGAGATAAATTATCATTGATAATCTTAGTATTTTTTGAAAGCGTAATTTCACTCAGTTTCATATTGCGTATCTGGTTGATTTGGTTTTACTTTACTTTACCGAAGATTTCGGTTGCTTTTGAAATAACAGCTAAAAATAAGGACGCTTCAGCGATGTGTGAAGGATTAATACGATATTAGCTGATAGATGGTGAGTTTCCGTGGAAAGTATGTTACGGGCTTCACCCATCTGGAGGGAGTCAGCTGAATGTAACTGGCATTAATAGTGTGGACACCATCATTAAAGGTACATTCAGGTGAGGAGTACAAAAACAGAGGAATTGTCAATCCAGGATTCCATTGATAGTCACCGTCTACTGGAGTTATGATTTATTCAGAATCCTTTGCTGGGTTCATTTCTCGATATAGACGTTCTGTGTTCAGTTAGTTGTGTTCTCTGGGCTGATTGGTTTAATTGCGAAGCTTTCGTTGTCCCTCATGAAAACATCTTTAGCTCAAGTTTTAGTATAAAATGAACAGATTTAAGTTCTGCATGATTGATAGAAGTGCGTCTCCTGGTGACCATCTTCGTGATTGGTAGTCGATTTTCATCCCCGCTGATCACTTTCTATTGACTTGAATTTTGAAATTTCTTGTCTTTACTTTTACTTTTATTAGTTGGTAGATTTGGTCTATATTAACATTTTTGTTAGTTGCATATTCGTTTGAGTACCGGGCTTCTAGAATTCCCTGCGACTTTTGGTATTTCCTCTGTTTAAAATTTCTACATTATCCTAATCCTCAAAATGCGTGTCCATAATTATCTGCATGCATTGATATGAAAATAATATATATCGTGTCTTTTCACGGCCGATTTGTGTTCTTGGATTCTGATTCGAAGAGGACGCCCACTTTAGCCGATGTAATGCCTGTTACAGTTCATACATGCAATTTATTTTTTAAATGGTACTAATTTTATCTTCTTTTTCTGTTGGATATTCCGGTTTGCAAAATACCGAATGTAGTGGTTGTCTTGGCTGGCTGGCTGGCTGGCTTTTATGCTCTTTCTATTTTAAACTGTCTCAGTATTCTAGCTGTTATTTCATAGATATTTTTTATATTTGGTAGAATGAATTTTCTTGTAGTATTTGGTGATGGTTTCTTGTTAGGTTTGTCACTCGATTTTAAACACGTCTTTTGTATATTTTGTAATTCAAACTAAGATGTACGTTATAAAATACCAATAAAATATTACATACACAATAACGAATTCCTCCAAAATACCTGTGCCCGCTGTAACAGAGCTTTCTTGTCTTCAGTGTCAAGATATTTCTTCCTCACTTCAGTCTAACATTTACTAGATGTACGATATCTTTAGTAAGCGCTTGACAGTCTGTATGGAACAGGTTGGACAGTTGCTATTGTCTATGCTTTCCTTCCATCTGAGTGCGTCGGTGGCACAGTGGTTAGGACTCTCGCCGACCATGAACATGGTCCGGGGTTCGGGCCCACGCCGGCGCACACCTGATATCTACGGTCGGCCTGCAAAATTTGGGCTACCGATATCCATGCTGAAAATTCCATACTTGTACCAAAAATACATTGTGGAATCAAGCTGTAAATCAAAAAAAAATAAAAATAAAATCTGCAAATTTAGACCACAGTGTTCAACTATGATGACCAATATGAACAACTGCATATATATACATATATATATATATATATAATTCAATAAAAAAGAAATATAACCCACATGTTTCTTAATTTCCTTGCTTTAATGTAACTCTTAGACAATATCCGCGTCTTTCATGGCAGGATTACCGTTTGCCTGTATGAGTATCCCCTGGGAGTTAGCAAGTTGGGGAACGACGTTGCTGTTATTCTTCTCTACTGTGGTAGGTGGGGCATTTATTCGGGTGAATTTGATGGGTTACTGGCTCTCAATATTTTTATTCCTCGTTTTTGAGTTCATTGCGGTATTAGTCACTACCATTGTTTTATATACCTTAGTGGAATTTGAAGTAAGTATCATTTTGTGGTTTTATTTGAAATTAATATTTATGCTCACTTATACGTTAACGAATAAATATTCAAACATTCGACATATTTTTTTAAGTCAGATTCTCAGGTTTGTAAATGAGTTGATAATTGGTGAAGTTCCAGGGGATTATTTCACCACAGTTTACCTTAGAGATCAAGTTTACTGTAAACGTAAAATGAGATCTGATTGATACGACAAATGATAATGAAGAAGGCGAACACAAATGCGTGACATTCTATTATAATTGTTCCCTTGGGTTCCTAGTGGAACATAGGGCTTCAACTGCACGTCTCCACTTGCTTCTGTCTTCTGCTGTACTTTTCACTTGCATCCATGTTACTCCATACTGTTTCAACTCCTCTTCACACGATCTACTCCATGTCACCCTCACTCACCACTTCCCTTTCGGCCTGGTTCCACTCGAGAAATGGCCTGACGCGCGCACGATGTCACCCAATGGCGGCCTCCTAAGAGAATGTCCAATCCATCTCCACTTTCTCCTGCACATTTGTTGGTTGGCGATTGGTTCTTGCTTTGTTTGTCCCCAACCATAGTTTCTTGTTGGTGATTCTTTCTGGCCACGCCATCTGATCTTCATTATAGAGTGAAAACAGTTGTTGGTTGATGAAGGTCTGCAACAGACTGTTGGAAATATTCTTTGTGACCCGCCCGCCCGCCAACTTCCTGATCCGTATAGAAGAACTGACTGACTTGACGCTTGTATTGAAAATTAGACTGAATTTTGTTGTTGATGGTGGCTGAGTGACGAAGATTTCCAGATTGGTTGTTTCAGGTTGATGAATGTGTTTCTCGCCTTCCCGATTCTCGCTCGATTTGACATCCTCGTCCGTTCTGACTTCCTATAGTTGAGACAATGCTTCCTAGATAAGTTAAGTGAACGAAGTAACCTATTTCAAATCCCTCCCGTTGATGGTGATTGGCGCTTGATATTTCTGTTGTTGTTGTTTGTTGATTATTTTCATAACCTCCGTCTTGTCTATGCTCACCTGGAGTCCTGTCTTCGCCGGCTGCTTCTTTGACCAGTTTGTCGGTTTTCACTTGTAAGTCTTCGATTTTGTGTGACATCAAACATAAACCATTCACGCGCGAAATCCAAGTCTTCTAGGTTCTTCCCGTCTGTCTGTCCAGGATATCCCTGTCTTCTCGTTTCCCACTGTCTGACACATAATCCAGTCCACCACAATCAGGAATATCATTGGTGATACTCTATGCTATCGATTAACTGTGATGAGTAATCCTATAAAGGTAACATCAACAAGTAATTCAAGCCTGAGAATTTACGCATTTAGCCAGCCATAAATCGGTTTGTTTCGACTATCTGAGCTGATACACTTTGGACTAGCTCGACCCCGAACGAGCGAGAAGTCCATCCAGCATTTCATTCACTTTGATCTGGCTAGCAAGTAATACTGGTCGATAGGAGTAGTGTACAAAATTCATGTCAAACAATCGATGATATGTTGATTGAATGCATTCCCCGGCAGTTAACAATCCTAAATGTATGATTTGTAAACACGTTTTTTATATTTTTATATTTATATTTTTGATTACAGCTTGATTCCACACTGTATTTTTGGTACAAGTATGGAATTTTCAGCATGTGATATCGTTAGCCCAAATTTCGCAGTCCGACCATAGATATCAGGTGTGCGTTGACAGGGGATCGAACCTCGGACCATGCGGATGGTCGACGAGAGTCCTAACCACTGTGCCTCCGACGTACCAGAATTAATAATGAATATATATTTATAAGGTAATTTGTTATATGATCACCAAAGGTAGAATCCAAGTTATGCCTTTCAGTTTTGTCTAACCTCTTAAGCCACATTCACTTACATCTAAGTGAAGAACAGTGCACTCAATGAAACTTGAATTCACTTGACTAAATTTCCAACTGGAATGCGTTATCCACTAGGGAAATCAGCCAAAACACGAAAGCGTTTTACAACGGATATGGGTTGTTATGTTTTGAGGCGCTGCAATTTGATTTTGTTCATTATTTATAGGTGGAATTCATTGGCCACCTTGCATATCTTTCCTGGAATGAAATAAAGGGTCACTCAATCACCGGTATGCAGCATCATGCTGCTACTGATCTCTGCAGACCTTTAGCTCATAAAATAGATACTATTCTGTTGTCTTTCATTTTGAAAGTTTCATCAAATACTGTTTCCAGGAATAGCCCTTCACATATTCCTCGTCACTGCGTTCACATTTATTCTTTTCAGATAGCAATGACTGTATTTGGAGGCGGAATGGCTGTAATGATGATCATTGTAAGTTGTGATTCAACTCTTTTTTCTCCCTCATTGTATTACTGATATATTTAGAATGTGAAAATAAATAAATGCAATAAGTGTTTGCCTAGATTCACTTAGGACTGTGTACTTTGATGTTAGATGATTGGAGGCAATCAGTAGAAAGCTCTCCGACAAGGTTTCATCCTTGTTGACACTCTTGAGTCAGCAAACTGTATCTGCAAGTTTGAAGGAATTCACGTCCACTCTGAAATTCTCACTCGCGTCACCAAGCGCTGTAGTAAGAGACATAACCGCTGAGCTTTTCGAGAATAAACGAATGAGGGGAAAAGCAGGTAAATACTATAAAAATGTTTTTGTTCACAAAGATTACGTTGTCATCCGCAAAATTATGCTGTCCATATAGGGTGCAGTGAATCAACTATGAAGGATTTGATCAGGCTTAGATGCAAGAAAAAATGAAATGGACAGAAAGAAGAAATTCAACGAATACGAAAAGTTGATCGACAGAATCAACCTCAAGATGTTAAAATATCTTGAAATGATGCAGATTCCAGGTGGTAGTCACCTGATGTGAAAAATGTTGGCAAGATTCTCAACCAAGTACACATGATGTTCGTATGCGATTTCCGACGATAATAAAGCTAATACAGAATGTAATACAGAATGGAATTCTTAGCATTTGTCACAATATTGCATCTGATTCACTCAAAATATAAATAAAATAAAACAAAATTAACCAGAGGAATTTGTTCACATTTACGGTATGAAGTCAAAAATATTCGAAGTAAAAAATGTGAATAATACTACTGATAACAGTGGGTTTGTTTCAAACAGTATTGTCGATTCAGTTTGGAAATTTTATCTTGTTATAGATTATTGAATCTAATCTTCAGCTGATACAGTATAGTGAGGGGAAATGCAGACATTAACAGTTATAAAATAGCTTAAATTATACTCACACTTATGAAAAAATAAAAAAAATTGCAACAAAAAGTTGAGAGGATTATAAATATAACAATAAAGCTTGATGTTATAAGGGTGGAGAAAATGGTTTATTTAGTAGTGCAAAGAAGGTTAGTTAGTTCATGCTTGACACTACTTTTATCACATAAAGTACTTGCCAAATACGGTATAGTGGAATTTTTATACTTAGACGTACGTCCATGAAGTCTTCTGAAAAGACTTCTTGTTTTATCTGAGGAGATACAAGGCTGGAGCTGTGGGTAAAGTGGATGCTCAGAGTCTGACAAAATTCCTTTAGCAAATTCGTTGTATGAAATCAAGTGCTCATCAATGACGATGTCAACGATATGGCCCAATGGGATATCACTCGCAATACTGACAGTCTTTAGAGTTCAACGAAGTATGACATAGTCTTTTTTTAAGCAATCCAGGAAACAATAAGCAGGGGTGAACAGTAAAGAAGAATAGGTAAAAAACACGAGTTGACAAACTGTAAGAGGAGGAGAGGTTGAGTTATGCCTGAGTGCCTTAACTTCTCAATGTAAAAAGTCAGACGAAATATTCTTTTAGAAATCACTAAGACATGGGAAGATCAGGATAGGTCAGAAGAAAGAATTAATCCAAGGTGCTTAACTTCACACTTGATTTCTACGTCAATATCATCAATTTTGCAAAGATCACAGGAACCAACAGTTTCATTTAACTTTCATTTACAACGGAAACTGAAATTAGCAGTCTGACACTTGGAATGATTTAGTTTAAGACCATAAGATGAAGATGATTTGCTAACTCCTGATAGAAAGCTGTTCATCTAAGTACAGTCTAGCTGGGAGTTAACAGGAAGTGAAATAGTTATATCGTCGGCGTACTTCACAAAGTTCATTCCATCAGAGTGCGAGATGAAAGAAAACAGAAAAGGATAAAGGACAGTGCCGTGTGGGACACTAGTCTCAGTAAGCAATGAAGTGGATGACTTCCCCTTAAATACAGTGTACTGCTTTCTTCCTGAGAAATACGAATGCTGCCATTTGACAACACAACAGTGAGTTTGAGTTTCAGCAAGCTTGTTCAACAAAATGTCCCTAGGTACTGAGTCGAAAGCAGATATATAATCTAGAAAGGTGCAGCAAACGAATTTAGCCTCCTTGTCCAAGCTGGAGACAATGTTATGATACAAGACTGCAGCCGCATCTAAAGTATTTCTACTATGCTTTGTAGGCGAATTGTTTGGGATCTTTAAAGGCTTTAAGTGAAGGTTGAAGATTAATTAAGACTAACGTTTTCATAGGATTAAAAAAAGGAGAGGTAATAGCAATAGGTCTAAGTTTAAAACATGTTCCAGTAGACGACTTAGGTACGGGTTCAATTATAATGTCCTTCCAAACGGCTAACAAAGATTCATTGCATATGTCCATAAGAGGATAACACAGGATATCTGTACATTTTTAAGAATAAGGCTAGGCAAACGCACTAGACGCACTCCTTTACCTCACTAAGTCAGTAATAGAACTAGCAAAGAGGGAAGGTTGGGCATGAGGCTAGCAAGCCCATCATGTAAAAATAAACACTGCTACAGAAACTTCAAGTCTCTAGTTTGAAGCCGACCTGTATTCCACTGGGAACGTGAAGGAATAAAAAAAACTATCTGGACAAGGAGGGTGGAAAAAAATAACATTTTGAAGATTTTTATAAATGTGTTAAATTAAATGTCACTTCGACCGTGGTTTATGCTTTCTTTTTCAGCTAGCTATCATCTCTGGTCAAATGACATTTGGTCGACCTGGACTACGGACAATAGATCCAGACTACTGTTTAGCATCACTTATCTTACACGCTATTTTACTTTTGTTGTTTGTGGTCAGTTCTGTGGAATTCTATTTCACTTTAGGCGCAGATCCTTCAAAGTGCACAAACAACATCAGTGGTTTTTTTCATTTTGTCAACACTAGATTTGTATGTCATTCCGTCATTGAATGGTTGACTGTAGTCAGGTATTTATTTTAAATTTCGAGTGCCTGGGATTAAAACCGTACTTCAAAAAAAATTACGATTTTAATTCATTTTCTCTTGTATAAGTGATTGTGCATGAAAATGTAATAATAATAATAATAATAATAATGATAATTTGCTTTATTCCAAAAACAGTACTAATGATACAGCAAGGAATTTTCAGCATTTCAGTACAATATTGCATCTAATTTACTCAAAAACGACAAAAATTTAAAAATACACATTACATAATAGTAATATAATGAAACGATTTTCATAGCAGCTACATAGCAAAATACTGCATGCAATACGGTGAAAAATATGCATAAAGTATAAAATTGTAGTAATAATAGTAATACCAACTAAAACAAAATAGCAGAGTTATAATTAAACGATAGAAAGTGTGACACCATAAAATGAAAGGGTCGATTCACTGTGCTAATTACATAGTAATTTATGTGTTTCACGTCTAACAGAGTCTTCGTCACATAAAGTACGGCTAAATAGGGTATTGTAGAATTTCTATACTTAGTGGTACGAGCATATAACTTTTTATATTGACTTCTCGTCCTACCTGATGAGATACAAGGGGACAGGTGTGAATAAAGGGGGTGCAGAGGGTCTGACAGTATAGCCTTTGCCCATTTCGTACAGGAATTTATATGCCTCTCGACTATAGTATTAGCGAGCTCATGCAGTGGCAGACCACAAGCTCTACTCACAGCATTTAATACTCTTCGTAATATGATATAATCTTTTTTGAAAAGCCCAGGAAAGATTAATGGAGAGCAGTAGAGTACAATAGGTAAAATACAGGAGTTTAAAAATTGCAAAACTAAAGGTTGGTTGATACCTGATTGTCTTAACTTTTTAATGTAGAAGGTAAGACGAAACATTTTCTTAGAGATAGATAAGATGTGAGATGACCATGAAAGGTCAGAGGAAAGAACTAATCCAAGGTATTTAATGCTTGATTTGGTTTCAATTTCCGTGCCATCTATGCTACAGGGATCATGTGAACTAACTAGTTCAAGTAAGTCACGTCGATGCTTGAAAGTAAAGTCAAGTGCCTGACATTTGGAAGGATTTAATATAAGACCATTTGACTTGGACCAGTTGTTGATGTCCAACAGAAAGCTATTAAGTTTGGAGCTGTCAGACTCGGAAGTGATAGGCAGTGATACAGTCAGATCATCTGCATATTTGACAAAGTTAGTTTCGTTTGAATGAGGCAGGTCATGTAGGAAGAAAGAAAAAAGAAAAGGAGAGAGGACAGCACCTTGTGGAACACCGGATTTTGTAAGCGAGGTAGAAGATTTGCCGTTATATACAGTATACTGCATTCTATCAGAAAAATAGGAATGCAACCAACTCTTAGCCCAGGATCCTGTTTGTGTCAACGATAGCTTATTTAACAAAAGCCCCTAGGTACAGAGTCAAAAGCAGATGTGTAGTCTAAGAAAGCACTACGAACATATTTAGCACCTTTGTCTAAACAAGAGACAACATTGTGATATAAGACAACCGCAGCATCCAAGGTACTTCTACCATGTTTGTATGCAAATTGTTTAGGATCATTAAAAGGTTTCAATGAAGGTTCAAGACGAAGTAAAAGTAATTTTTCCATCAATTTTAAAAAGGGGGAAGTAATTGCAATAGGCCGAAATTTAATATCAGAACCAGAAGATGGTTTTGGTATAGGGATAATTTTAATGTTTTTCCATGCAAAAGGTAGAACGTTACCGGAAAAAGAAGCATTAAAAATGTTAGTAAGAGGATAACACAAAATATCAGCACAATTCCTGAGGACAATGGCAGGTATGCCGTCAGGACCAAGGCTTTGAGAAGGCTTAAGAGACCGGAGACATTTAAGCACATCAAGGGTATTAAAACCACTAAAGTTATTGTCAATATGATTTGTATCATTAGGAAGGGTATCAACAGAAGAGCGTATGAAAGATTTATTGAGAGTGTCGACATTAAGAGATGGGACAGAAGTACATCGCTTACCGCTAGTAATTTCTTTGAAAAGTTTCCACAAATTAGAAGGACACACAGTGATTGTATTTAGGATATACGAAGACTTTCATATTTATGTAATATAAGCCTTTAATAACTTTATAGATGGCATTTTCATTTCAGTTTGAATGTAGTGAATATTTCGTAGTGATATATACTGAAATATACTTCAATAAGCACGGTAACAAGTGAATGTATTTGTGATTTCAACTAAAACATCCTGAATTTTTTAAATTTTTTTAAGTTCTCAGCGGAACATAGGGCTTCAAGCTGGAGGCTTGAAGTTTCGGTAGCAGTGGCGTTTATTTTTACGGGATTAGGCTGATGATCATTAATATTTACAATAGTTATCACTAAATAGGACAACATCGTGCTGTTTCCAGTTTGAAAGCGTGTCTTTAGTTAACGACACTCCAGAAGTCTAGTAAAGAATCAATGCGTCAGTGTAGCCATTCAAACCTTCAACAGATTAGATTCGGATATCTCGTGAATTTTCGTCTCTGGTGATTCCCGCCGTTCATTAAAAAATTGAGAACATTCAACTTGTAGAGACACGCTGATATGAAATTGGGTGTGTGGGGGGTCGAATACAGATACTTTCGAAATAATTTTCAAGTACTGGTTTTGTAGGGATTTTATTTGATCGATTAGCTGGGGGATTTCATCATCAGGTGACATCAGTCAGAGAACCATGGGAAAACCTGGGAGTGCTGGATGGCTGTTAAGCCGTAGTTTGGGACTCTTCATCAGTCCACACATACAAAGGCTCGGGCTTAGAACCTTCTGGTTACAAGGCTTGCTCATAAACCATTAAGCCACTGGCAGTGTAACGACAGAAGACAAGGAAAGACAATAGATCGTTTATTTATGAAATCAACAGATGTTTATAGATTTTCATGTGCATTATTATACATCATTATAATCAGACAAACACAATCTTCTGATTGGTGGTTTCTCGTTGAACGCTAATGTTTTATCTCGGAGGCACAGTAGTTAGGACTTTCGCCGACCATCCGCATGGTTCGAGGTTCGATCCCCTGCCAACGCACACCTGATATCTATGGTCGGACTGCGAAATTTGGGCTAACGATATCACATGCTGAAAATTCCATATTTGTACCAAAAATACAGTGTGGAATCAAGCTGTAATCAAAATCTTTGTGGCTGTTTCTTGAAGTTCAGATTATCTACCTGCAAATTGTATCCGCCAAAGCAAAGTCTGCTGTGACTGGTTGTTGAGTCAATCTTTGTTCTTATTTTTCTCATGACCGAAATTCGGCACTTAAACATTGACGTAAATTACTGTCTATCAATTTCGTCTAGCAGCCAGCTCTTACCACAACAGAAGTTAGAGTTCATAGGCCATTATATCGAGTTCTAGTGGCTTAACAGGCTGTGAGCTCGTCTTGTGGCGAGAACGTCGGGGGTTCGATCCTTAGGAGTGGGTGCGTACCCCTGATGATTCTCAAACTAGGATGGAACAGCTGTCCAGCTGTCTCTAACTGGTGTCAGCTCATGATGAAATCCTCCAACTTTTGAAACAGGTTCATTTTCATTCCCTTTGCCTCCCAAATGAAATATAGGGCTTCATGGGATTATTTTTAAGAGATGGAATTGATAGATCCACGCCGAGACTTTCCCGTTTTCTCTGGATTTACTGCAGTCCAGGAGTAGTTTAGAAGTGGGTTGGCAAGGAATCGAATGCAGAGTCAGTAGGTGGATGCCAAGGATACTACCAGTGAACCCTACTATGTATTTTTATTTTTCGTCTAACTTATTTTCAATTCTTTGTTCTCTATGAATTATTTTCAAATGACTATTTACCACCTAACTAAGTAGTTGCGAGCTCTCTCTCTCTCATTCACGTAGGGTTATTTTCTAATCTTCTCACTTTGATTTATTTTTGTCCTTAATAAATAATAATTTTTCCTTCACGTTCCCCAGTGGAACATGGGGCTTCAAGCTAGTGGCTTGAAGTTTCTGTAGCAGTGTTTATTTTTTACAGGATGGGGTTGCTAGCCTCACGCCCAACCTTTCCTCTTACCAGTCTCATTACTGGTTTAGCGAGGTAAAGGAGTGCGTCAGCCGAGGATCGAACCCCGGACCATGTGCATGGTCGGTGAGCGTCCTAACCACTGTACCACCGACGCATTTTTGTCCTTAACTGGCAGTAATCTCAAAAGTGCATCCCAACTGCTGTGCGTCGGCGGCACAGAGGTTGGGATGCTCACCGACCATGCACATTGTCCGGGCTCCGATCCTCGGCCGACGCACTCCTTTACCTCGCTAAACCAGAAATAATGTTGGTAAAGAGGAAAGGTCGGGCATAAGGCTAGCAACCTCATCCTGCAAAATTAAACACTGCTATAGAAACTTCATGTAGCCCTATGTTCCACTGGGGAACGTAAAGGAAAGAAATCTCAAAATTTATTGATTGTCAGTGAACACTGTATACATAACCGCGCCCTAGAAAAAAATCTCATCGCTGACTAAAATCTTGTGTTCTTAACATCCTCTCACACAGTCAACTCGTTCAAGATTTCCTCTAAGCATTTGGTTATTGTGTCAAGAGACTTTCAGCTTCAAAGTGAGATGTATATTGTCATCTATGGATACAACAATTTTCAAACTCATACAACTGATAAGTATGGACTGTTTTATCATCGACCTAGTGTCAGTGGGTCTACATTTCCGTCTGATTAAGCTGCAGACCATTTTTCGCCCTCTGCTAGTTTTACGTTGAGCCTTCACTGTTTCCACGCTTACTATTAGCTGGCTATGGTGTTCGCCTTAGACGAGAATCAAAGTAGAACCTCTTGTCTAGCTGGCGAGCAATCTGTCATTTTGATCCATTCAACACATCTATTGTTGAGTTTTACTTGACAACAGATTTCGTCAAAAGATGGGCTAGGTGGTGTAACCAAGCAGAACTTTGCTTCCATATTCACTGCTTTAAGGAGGACAGAGAATTGAGCAAAGAAATATATGCCTGAATT